TTTGTGAGTTAAAACTTTTAAAATCAACCACAGACAAAGCATGGAAGCCATTACTACAATTGCAGAACTGAATGCAAATCTTATGAATGTTGATAACATGAAAGCAATGTGAAGCTGACAAAAGGGGCTCTAGGGCTTCCCTGGTGGCGCACTGGTTGAGAGTCCGCCTGCTGATGCAGGGGACACGGGTTCCTGCCCCTGTCCGGGAGGATCCCACATGCCGCGGAGCGGCTGGGCCCACGAGCCATGGCCGCTGAGCCTGCGCGTCCGTAGCCTGTGTTCCACAACGGGGGAGGCCACAGCAGTGAGAGGCCCGTGTACCGCAAAAAAAAAAAAAAAAAAAAAAAAGGGACTCTAGATTAATAAGCAGGCTTGCATCTCTTAAGAATGAAATTGCTGAGGAGCAATCCAAAGCAATCAAATCACTATGAAATGCCAAACTCCTAAATTTGGTAAATTCAGCAAATTTGTTATTGATCAGGTTGCAATTTAGAGAATCGGGCTACCTCTTACCGGAGATAAAAGATTAAAGAGAAAGGGTGCTAACCTCAAGGGGACTAAAATATTGACTGAAGGTGACAGAACAAGAAATAGACGTTTAAGCATAGTATTTAAAGTTTAAAATATGAGCAGTAGAGGATTTTTTAGAAAATAATATAACTATCAAATGTCAGGAAGGGAAGAGGTAGAGGAAGTACAGGGTCATGATATCTACTAAATCCTCTATCATAACGGGGAGTCAATAGATTGTTCTAAAGCTGATAAAATTAGGCAAAAGTAATACAAGCTTCTTATTTTGAATTTCAGAATGAATCACAGAAGAATGAAAAAGAAACAGCGAATAAAGTTTCTCTCAGAAGACTGCAACTAGGGCTGGGGCATGGTAGGCCAGGAGACATTGCTTGTCATTGTAAGCTTGCTTTTGCTATTTTACTTTTATACCAAGTGCATCAACTGTGTCAGTAGTATTTTTGATGTGTATATGTGTATTTTCCTTACAGGCACGGACGATGCCGTAGCCATCTTTGTTTTTGCAGGTCTAGCCTGGTAGTTTCACAATAGCAGTAAAATAACAATAATAACAGTAAAATCATCTATTTGTTAAGCACCCACCATGCTCCAAACATGTACAAGTACTTCACATATATATTGTTATTCCTTACACAACCCTGCAAGGTAAATATTCTATCTTTCCAACAAGGAAATTGATGTAAAGGAATTCAAAAAAGAAGAAATTGTCCAAGGACACACAACTAGTTAGTGGCAGAATTTGAACCCAGGTTCTGAAAACCAACAGGATTTGAATGTAAGTCTGAATGTCTCTAAGATCTTTTAAACTAAATCAACATTTGAAGGAATTATTGTGAATGAATGTGAATAAATAAATGCATACAAAACTCAAAATGAATGTCAGTTGCATTGTTCCTTGCCTCAAAAAATACCATTCTATCTTGCTACCAGTATCACCATCTAGAACCAAAAGGCTTGAGATTCATAAACTTCCTGTGCCTGAAATACCTTGAAGAGGCTACTATGTGAAGCAACAAATGAGGTCTAATAAAAACCAGAGGGAAAATTTAGATTCTCAAAAATAAGTGGAGAGATTTTATCCAGTAATGGAACAAATTGAAATAATTCAGGCTGAAGAAACACTGAGTCGTAAATACATATGGAATCAACCTCAACATTTTCAGCCTTCTGAGGTAAAAGATTATTTTCATGCAGATTTAAATGGCTTAGGGATTAGGGTTTAATGCAAAATTAGTTTGCCTAAGTGGCTGTGTCTTTGAGACTAAAGGGCACATGGATGCAAGAGTGTACCCTGCCTTAAGAGCACAGTACTGGTCCCCATGCCTTTCTGACTATTTACTCTATCAATAAAAAAGGCATATGTTACACTGGATTAAAACATGCATTATGGCACATACACAGATATAGAAAACTTAAAAGAATGAAAATACAGCAAGTAAACAGAAGTTCTACTTTTTCTTCTTACCCTCCAATGGGTAGGGTAGTCTTGTAACAAGCCTACACTCAATTTAGGAAAACACTCGTCTATGGGATTACCACACAGTGAGCAAGTAGCCATGGAGAACAAGTTGTGTATAAACTAAAACAAAAATATTATAATTAGAGCTAAACTTTATTAAGCACTTACCTTGTGCCAGGGACTTTCCTAAGCAGTCTGTGTGTTTTTAACTCATTTAATCCTTACAACAACCCTATGGGCAGGTTGTATACTTAACCCCCATTTTACAAAAAACAAGACTGATGCCCTGAAAGATTAAATGTTTCCCAAGGTCGCACAACTGTTAAGTGTTGGATCCAGGTTGCCTTTTTTAAAGTAAACGTTTTATTTTGGAATAATGCTTAATTTACAGAAGAGTTGCAAAAGTAGTACAGAGTTCCCATATACCATCACACAGCTTCCTCCTCCAGGGTACATTTGGGAAACCAACAGTGGTACATGAACTAAATTCCAGGCTTTATTTGGGTTTCACCAGTTTTCCCACTAATATTCTCTTTCTGTTCCAGGATCAAACCCAGGGATACCACCCAAAAGTGGTACCTCTTCTGATCTGGGGCATCAGTTAGTGTTTTAACAGAGAAACAGAGTCACAGGAGGATGTGGAGATGGATACATATATCGTTCCTTCACGTGTAGGTGACTGTGTTCTCCCTGATTCTGCATGTCGTCTTTCCTCTGTGCATGTCTTTCCCTGTGTCCAAATTTCCCCCTTTATAAAGACACAGTCATTTTGGATTAGGGTCCACCCTAATGACCTCATCTTAACTTGATCATCTACAAAGATCCTATTTCCGAAAAAAGGTCACATTAACAGGTACTGAGGGTGAGGACTCCTGCATTTTTGGGGCGGTCACAATTCAACCCATAACTAAGCACATGTGAAATCAACAGGGCAGACCATCAGGAAGGGCAGGCTGGAGACAGGGCCTGAGGTGCTGTATACAGGCAGAATTTCTTCTACTTCAGAGAATCCTCAGCTCTGCTCTTAAGACTTTTCAACTGACTCAATCAAGCCCACCCAGATTATCTAGGATAATCTTCCTTATTTAAATTAAACTGACTGTGGACTTCAATCACAGCTAGAGAATACCTTCACAACCACATCTACATTAGTGTTCGACTGAATAACTAGGAACTGTAGCCTAGCCTAACTGACACATAATACTGACCATCATACACTGTAATACGTTTAGATTCATAAACATAGAACTTACTGCCTTAACCGTGTTTAAGGGTACACTTCTCCCTTTGCCTTTTGAGGTTAAACAAGTCTTCTCTAAAGCCCAGACACTCCTCTAAAGTTGGTTGGTTTATTATTAAGGCTGTGATGACACTTTCCCTTGCTAATAGCAGAAAAGAAAAACCTGGAATAAGAAATGTTCATAGGCCAAGAGCAATGGGTTTTGCAAGGCGAGTGCAGCGGGAGGACCAGGGTCCCCAGGTTTGTGTCTGCACTGATGGCATGTCCAGGTGGCAGCTCTTAACTGGGTGGCAGAGGTCAAGAATCCAACAGGGCCCAAGCAAACCTCTACAAGGTTTTGTCGAGGGACAATGTAGGTACCATACAACTTTCTCTTCCTACCTTCCCGATCTTTAAATTACTGTCAGGTTCTCAAATGAGTATCTTGATAAGCAATCAAAGGAGAGCAGAAGCAATCTTTGGTTGGGTGTGGCTCACCAGAATGGCAGTTAAGGAAAAGCTGTCCACACAACCCTACCCCCCCCCCAGCAGGCAACAAAGAACTAACAGTCCTGAAGCTTTATCATTAAGCAGCTTGATGCCCCTCAGCAATGACCAAAGCCTACTGAGGTCACATTTCATACCTTCCACTATTTTATACATGTTTTACTAGAAAGGGTTACAAGATGGTTTTCTTAAAATGACTGCAGAGACAGGAGGACAGTCTTGGGGTACTGGAAGGAGGCTCCTTGGATTCGGGGCCCACCCTACTCTGGTGAAAGGAGCCTCCATTCACCTGTAGCTCTCACCTGCTCAACTGCAGCTCACCTACAGCTATCACCTGCTCCCCTCCAACTCTCACCTGCTCACCTGCTACTCGTTTGCTCCCCTGCAGCTCTGCTCTGCAGGTCAGAGGCTGACATCAAAAAACAGGTCAAACTTTCAGGATGGAATGAGTAATTCCACAGCCCTGGAAATCTGTCTAGTCTACTCCAGACTACTACTGCCCACACAACCTACCCCAGCGAACAGATGAGATCTAATGCTTTGCCTCTTGGCAGTCCACAGTTACTACTCAAGCACCACTGGGAACAACAGTGACCCAAAGCGACCCCAGACACCACTGGGCATCTTCAGGAAATTCTCTCCTACTTTGCAGCCAGAATCTCAGACCCATCCAAGAAGAGCAGAACTAAACCTCTCCCTCCTCTGCTACAGGAGCTCGCCTGGAGTCAAGGGTGTTACAGTGTGAGGCTAATTATTGTAGCCTTTTAATATTCTCTTCTTTGAGGCCCTCCCGGGAAGGATGAAATAAAACACTGCATAATAACATGTGAAATGAACGGTGGACTGGGAACCTTCAGTAACTGTGTGACCTTGGACAAAGCAGTGGACGCAGACTTGCAATCTCATTAATACGAAAGGAGACAGAGGGGAAAGGCCCCTTCCTTTCCCTTGCCAGGGTGAGGAGGTTCAGGCCAGAGCCAGGCTGTGTCAAAGGGGACCCGGGGAGGTGGCGCTGCCTTGTGGGAGACACGACGCCTGGCTATTCTCCCTTTTATACTCCCCACAATTTTTGTTCTGCTGACGGTCTCAATTTTATGTGCCGAATAGCTTTTTTTGCTTTGCTTTAACGGTGAGCTATATTATACAAACAGAAGGGTATAAAAAGCTTACATACAGTTTAGAAACTATCAACAACACGAACACCTGTGTATTTGTCACCAGCAAAGCCCACTGACAATTCTCAGGAAATAAAAATAAAATTCGGGTAGTATAATGAAGTCTAACCTTTTTTCTCCCTTGACGCACAGTCTGGTTTCCCTTGCTCACAGGGGTCCGCATGCAGAGGCCTCGCACCCGGCCCGTCAGACCAGAGCTCCTCCCGGGAAAGAACTGCGCCGACACCTCAGCTCTGGGACCGTGCGCAGAGGCGCCCCGTACGGCACCTCAATTCAAGATGGCGGCGGGCGTGCGCAGATACGCTGCCGAGGCTGCGACCTGAGCCCTGAGCGGTACAGCTGCGCCCGCCCTCGAGAACTCCACCCCCGCCCGCCCCCCGCCCCTAGAGATCCTTATAAAGCAGCCCCACCCATGGCCTTTCATGGGAGATCGTGTTCTGTAGAGCACGAGCTCGCCCCTCTCCATCTTTAGATCAAAGAAGAAAGCTTTCCTTTGCTTCTGAACTAACCTGGGTGTCATTCTATTGGCTCGAAAGACACCGGGCAGGAGAACCCTACTTGGGGCCCAACTCCAAAGGGTCGGTAACATATTCACCACTGAGAAATAGAAATAGAATCTTAACGGTACCTTAAAATCCCACGTGCCTCCTCCAGATCATTTCCTTCTTCTTCCCGTGCAAAGCTAACCTTACTAGCCTGATTTTTGTCGTAATGGTTCTCTCTTGCCTTTTCTTATCACCTGCGAATGTGCCTCTAAAAAAATAGATTGATTAATTTTGTTTTTGACATTCATATCAATGCAGTCATGCTGTTAGGAAGTGATCTGTGACTTGCTTCTTGTCCTCAGTTTTCTGTTTTTAAGATTTCTTCATATTTTTGAGGGCAGCTATGTGTAGGGCATTCACTGTCACTGCGGTATCCTATTGCTTCACACACTGAGTCAAATATACCAGAATTTATATATTCATTCTACTGTTGATGGGCATTTGGGTTGTTTCCAATTTGGAACTATTAAGATCAATGCAGCTATGAACACTCTTGCATGTCTCCTGGCACACGTGTGTAAGTTTCTTCAGATAGGAGTGGAATTGCTGGGCTGTAGAGTGCATGGGTGTTCATTCACCTTTACTAGATAATACTAGGTAATGCGACCCTGTTTTTCAGTGGTTGTACCAATTTATATTCCCAGTAGCAGTTAATGAGTTCCTTGCACAACCTCAACAAGATAAATTATCAGCTTTGTTGCTGTTGCTAATTCGTTAGTGTAAAATGGTTTATCACCGTAGTTTTAATTTGTAATGCTCTGGTAAATAATGAGATTGGGCATCTTTTCACATGATTGAGTCATATGTGTATTCTTCTGTAAAATGCCTGTTCATGCCTTTGCCCACTATTTTATCGAGTCATTTGTTCTTATTGCTTCATAAGAATGGTTATATATTCTGTAGTTATATAGAAGGGTGTATATATATATATATATATATATGTATATATATATATATATATATATGCCCTTGTAGTTATATACTGCAAATCTCTATATATTTGTATCAACTGTTCACTATCTTAAAGGTATCTTCTGATAACAAAGTTCTTAAGTTGAGCATAGTTGAATTTGCAACTATTTATAGAAGTTTTGATCTGTAATAGGGACAGGCCTACCACCTTCTGCTGCTTCTTCAGGACTGTTTTGACTATCCTTGGCCTTTACATTTTCCGTAAAAAGTTAAGAATCTTCTGGCCATGTTCAACCAAAAAACAAACAAAAACGCAAAACTCCTACTGGAATTTCACTAAATCTATAGATCACAAAAGGAAAAATTTACATCTATATAATATTGTTTATCTATTGAAAAATACGGTACACATAGTGTATGTCTGCATAGTTTTAGGACCAAAGTCTTTCAGTAAAGTTTTTGAGCTTTATAAAGAATTAACATCTTTTAGAAATTTATTTACTAAGCACTTCATTTTTTATTGCTAATATAAATGGTATCTTTTAAAATCACATTTTCTGGGCTTCCCTAGTGGCGCAGTGGTTGAGAGTCTGCCTGCCGATGCAGGGGACACGGGTTTGTGCCCCGGTCTGGGAAGATCCCACATGCCACGGAGCGGCTGGGCCCCTGAGCCATGGCCGCTGAGCCTGTGCATCCGGAGCCTGTGCTCTGCAACGGGAGAGGCCACAGCAGTGAGAGGCCGAAGTACCGCCAAAAAAAAAAAAAAAAAAAGTAAAATTACATTTTCTAATTGCTTCTGGTATATAGAGATGCAATTAATTTTTATATTAACTTTATATGCAGACATCTTGCTAAACTCTTATTAACCCTAATTCATATACAGATTATTTTAGAATTTCTACATCTGCAAATAGTGACAGTTTTGTTTCTTCCTCTCCAATTTTTAGACTTTTCATTTCTTTCTCTTGTTTTACTACCCTAGCTATGACCTCCTACACATTGTTGAATAGGAATATTAGAAGTGGGCATCTCTATCTTATCCCTTGAACTTAAACTTTTGACTACCAATAATGATGTTTGCTGCAGGTTTTTAAGAGGTCCTTCTCCAGATTAACAAATATCTCTTCTATTCCTAGTTTGCTTTAACTGCATTCCAGAAGTTTTAAAACATCATATTCAGTTCTATGTATGTAAATTTCCATTAGACATTTTCTTTGATCTGTGAGTTAAAGTGTACTTTTCATTTCTAAATGTAAGGTTTTTTCTCATTATATTTTGTTATTGATTTCTAACTTAATTACATTTAAATTTATTCATAGGAAATTCCATGAGTGCTTAAAAACAAGCAATAATCTCCAGCTGCATGGTGCAGTGTTCTCCGTATGTCCGTTTTATTGTTTATTGATGTGTTCTTTAAATCTTCTATATCCTTACTGATTTTTATCTGTTTAGTCTATGAATTACTGAGAGAAGTGTATTAAGATCTCCTATTAGCACAATGGATTTGTCTGGCTTCCATTGTAGTGCTGTCATTTAAAGTTTGCTTTATGTATTTGAAGCTGTATGATATATATAATATATATTATATATATATAATATATTTTATTGCTAATATAAATGGTATTTCATATATATCATATATACTATGTCTTACAAGTTTAGAATTATTATATATTTTGGGGAAATTAAGCATTTTACCATTATGTGGTGACTCATTGCTCATAAAACTGCCTGGCTTAAAGTCTGTTTTTTTCTGATATTAATATATTTTTCCATCTTTCTTTTGATTAGTACTTGCTTATTGTATCTTTTCCCATCCTTTAACTTCCAATATTTCTATATCCTTATGTTTAAAAAGCATCTCATGTAAATAGCATATGCTAGATTGTATTTCTTTATCCAGGTTATCAATTTTTGTCTTTTAACTGAGGACTTCAGTCCTATTGTATTTATAGTAATTACTATTATATTTGAATTTACTTCTAATATCCTACTATGTGTTTTATATTTGTCTCACTTTATTCTTCTCCCATACCCCACTTCTTGTGAGTTAAGATTGGTTTTGCTTGTATTTCATCATTTGTCTTTTATTTGTTTAGAAGTTATCATGTCCATATCTTTTCTGTGGTTTGCCCTAAAAATTATAAAATGCATTTTTAATAATTCTAAAATTAATATTTTTAACCCCCCTCCTGAAAAAGTCAAGTTTCTCAATTTTTTCTTCAATTCCAATTATCTGTCCACCTAATCCAATGCTTATATTGTGTGGTATTTTCTTCTAATATTTTCTTTCCTGAAAATAGGACATTTTTATCATGTTATATAGTTAAGGTTTATTTAGGTTTATCTACATATAATATTTATATTTGTTCATCATTCCTTCGTATATCTCAGATCTTGTCTCTTAGACCATTTTTCTCCTAGCCGAAGTATATTACATAGAATTTCATTTAGTGGAGACCTTCTGGAGATAATTACCTGTTTTATGTATTTCTTATATTTCAAATATCTTTGCCCTCATTCTTGAAAAATCATTTGTCTGGATATAAAATTTTTGTTAACAATTGTTTTCTCTCAGCACATTATGCCCTCTGACTTCCATTGTAGAAGCCAGCATTAACACTAGTTGCCATTCTTTTGTAGAAGATCCACCTTTCCTCTCTGGCTGCTTTTAAGATCACCTCTTTTTCTTTATTCTGATGTATCTAGGAGGATGTTTCCTTTTATCTATCCTCCTTCAGGTTCATTAAACATTAGTGTCTTTTTTAAGAATTCTGGAAGATTCTCAGCCATTTGTTGTTAAAATTAAATCCCCTCCTTATATCTGACTGAAATCTTTCACTTTGTCCACTCTTTTTCCTTTTTATTCATATTTTTAAACTTCTCAAATTTATATCCATGATAATGCCATTGCATCCATCTCCATTATTTCTAACTGTATCCAATTTTCTCGTTACTCCATCCATCAAGGTCTTAATTTCAATTATTATATTTTTCATTTTTAGAAGTTATGTTTTGTTGGTTCATTTTCAAGTCTACTTGCTTCCTGCTCAAATTTTCAAGACTTCTTCATATTTTACATAGCTGCTTTACTTGTGGTGTTCAATAAATCTGCTATCTAATGCTCTTGCTGACCTATTTCTAGTATGTGTTTGGTTTTTATTATTTTTATTTTTTGCTGGTTCTCTCAATCATAATACTTTGTTTCCTTGCATGTTTTGAGATTTTTTTTTTTTACTGTAAACTGCTCATTCTCTTTGGGCATTATTGGTGGAAATTCTGAGTTGCAGCAGGATTCCTCCAGAATATATTTGTGTTTATTCAGCTGGTCACGTCAGGTATTACCAAACTGAGAATAGGTTCAGTTTTCAGACTTGGATATTTAGGGCCACACATGTGAAATGAATTTGAACTGCAAGTGCAAGAGACAGTTTGTGCCAAGCCACAGTGGTTATCTGGACTGAGACAGGCCAGTTTTCTTGCTTCTCTTTCTGTGTTCACCATAAAACATGTGTAATCTTTTGGGATTCCAGCTTTATTTAAGGATCTCCTATGATGTACCCCACCTTGATCAAGCACTGGACTTAAACTCCTATATTCCATCCCCATACAACCTCCAAGGCAGTAGCCCAAGGTATTGGCATCTGGCAGAAACTTCAAGGCTGAAGGCAAGCTTTGGTATTCATTTACCTCTCAGAGCTCTTGGTTTCAGTTTGTCTGGGAGCTGAGAGGATTTCTTACCTTCATGTCAGCTCAAAGATGCATT